CTACTGATGTGAGCTGTTACGGCCGTTGGTACGGTTGTCCCCGTCAAGTTACGGTACGGTTGCCCTTGCGAGGCAAGTCTCCTTAAGACCTAATGAAAGGCCATATTAGACTAAGTCACATGGCGTGCTTTCGATATACGTGTCGAACTAGGTCACATGGCGTGCTTTCGACATGTACTCTTATTGTGTGGTTGACGATCTAAGTCACATGGCGTACCCTCGAATAGGACAGCAGTAATCTAATGATAGATGTGCACATGAGTAAGATATTGTTGTGATATTGTTAAGAGATGAGACATGATGATGATTGATTTATAATCATGCTGTGACCATACCATCTTAACATGTTATTATTGTATATGTGCATAGTGGTGAGCACCTCGGTTTCCTATTGTGCTCATCCCCACCTGCTCTTCACGGATGCAGGTTAAGCAGGTGTCGGGTGATGAAGAAGGACGAGTGGGTCGGTTATTGATTATGCTTATTTATGCTTCCGCTTATGAATAAACGTGTCAAGTCTTTGAAACCTTGTTTTGGGTTAAGACATGAAAAACATTTTGAAAATTTTTGTTTGAGTAAGTTGGATTTTTGGGGATATTTTGATGAACCTGTTTTGTAAGTCGGTTATCATGTGTTGGTTATTTCATACTATGGTGTTGAACTGAATAACTTATGTTGAAAATCAGGTTAATGAAAACCATGTGAAAACCGGGTAATGAATCCCCGAGCAACCAGATATGACTTGGTTGATGTTAAATGTTTGAATAAAGCCCTAGTTTTCGAAAATGAGTTCGAAAAATTATTTACTGATTTTTGGAAAGTCCAGAATTTCTTTAAAATCAAAGTGGGGTGTTACAGTTTGGTATCAGAGTCAGTCTGCATTTCTGTAGACTAGTATATATGTGAATAACTTGTTTATGTGATTCCACTCGTCTTTGTCACGCCACACTGCTTAAGGTATGTTTTATATAAGTATCAACAAAATACTTATAATATGAATTGTGATTTTGCATGAGTAGCAATGAAACTACTTGTGATGTTTTGCACGAGTAGCAATGAAACTACTTGTGATGTTTTGCACGAGTAGCAATGAAACTACTTGTGATGTTTTGCATGAGTAGCAATGAGACTACTTATGAAGTGATATATATGCTGTTTTGGGGCTTAGGAAATCATCCACCTTAGGTTATGTGAACTCTAGTGTTTAACCTTGAACTCTAGTGATATGGAGTTAAGTTCGGACTCTAGGGGTTTCTCGCTGTGAGTTTCAATATGTTGTTTTCGAGTTAAGTTCTGCCCATAGCAGTTTCCCTTTATATATAATTTTATTCAATGTCTCCGAGTGAGGACCCAGTCAATGAGGACCGGGAATGTATTCGTTTTTCTTCGGACCCTTGCCGGGTTTCGAAAATTATGAGATGAGTTGAGGTTTTGTAGATTGCTATTATTAAGGATGTTTATGGCCTCTATCTGACCTCTAGTATCGCATTGTCTTTTATGTATTAGTAAGGGGTGAATTCATGCCTTGAAATAATTAAGGCTTAAGCGTGAGTTGATTTGTATGCGGTTATCGCAATTTTTGGCTGATCCTCCTAAATATTATATGTGTGTACATGAGGTATATTGTGATTATATGTTGCTCGTTGATGCTATGTTCTTGAATATATGTCTTGTGCCGAGATTTAATTGAAAAACTCCATGTTTAAGCCTCGGTTTGTGCTCAGTTTTTCGTAACCAAGAAGTTGTTTCTTGGACAAGTGTTCACCATGAATTTTGTAGTGATTTGAGTTAGGTTTCTGTATCCTTTTCTCTCATCTGTAGCATTCTTTCTCTCATTAGAGGGCTAACTTTCTCTCATCGGAGAGTTCTTCTCCCGAAGGGGAGTAGTTTAATCCATTGCGATTGTTTCCAAAAGTTGTACTTCTCACTTCGAGTTGTAGGTCTGAGTTAGGGTTCATGGAAAATCCTCATACTAGAAGTATAGCTGAGGAGGTGGAACGGAGATTGAGAGCCTTTTCACTTTCGAAGGTGGAGGATGAATTCATTGATTGGGGCTCTGAGGACGTGAAAGTGAGTAAGGAAGAGTGCCAAAAGAGCTTATTTGGGAAGATTGTCGGAGAAAAGAAAGCGAATCTTCAAGGAATAAAGAAAGCAATGGGGCAAATATGAAGAAAGGACCAATGGAAGTTCGAGAATTAGGTACCAACTTCTTTCAATTTATCTTTGATCATCAAAAGGATCTTCAGAAAGTAGCAGCGGGTACTAATTGGATTTTTGAAAATCAGTTTATGAAACTGACGAGTTGGAAAGAGGGCTTGATTAACACGGATGAATGCTTTTATGAGTTAAAATTTTGGGTGCAAATTCACAATATCCCCCTTAATTGGATCACATCAGATGTTGGTATGAAAATTGAGAGGATCTTTAAATCGGTGTCTAATGTTCTGGTATGTAACTTGAGGAGCCAAGGAGGCAGGCTTATCAAATTACTGGCTACAGTGGATATTAGGGAAGCATTACCAAGATGCACCAAGATCAGGTTGGGTATATAAGCAGTGACAGTGATCTTCAAATATGAGCGACTTGTAAATCTCTGTCACTATTATGGAAAAATCGGTCACATTGAGAAAGGACGTAGAACTAGAATGGAGGATGTGAAAAAGAATCAATTGAAAGAGGGCCAATTTGGGGAGTGGATGAGAGCTATGGAGGGACTACAAGGGCAGAATTGGGCCATAGCCAGCTCCTCATCAGAACAGGAAAAGGGGAATGGGTCTTTCCAAGTAAAGGGAATACTGCAATTGATGAGAACGAGGACTTGGGGAAAGAATCAAGTGACAGAGCTCATAATCAGCTAATAAAATGGCCAGGCTATACTAGGTACAAATCAAATCAATCAAAAATGGCAACAGACTCATCTTCACAAAATAATGAGATGAAAACAGGGCTGAATATGGAGGAAAGTCAGGATAAAAGAGAGAGTGCAGCAGATCAGAATCCAGTTCCAAGAAAGAGGAGGGAGGAAGGCTCTAACATAGGGCCAAGTAGCTGCAATATAGATACACAGGAGAACTCCAAAAGGATATTACCTACTTCAGTTATGGGGAAGAAATCATGGAAAAGGAGTGTTCAAAAAGAAGGGAAGAGGCAGGGAAGTGTGGGTAGCTCATCAATGGAGGAAGATACTAGTACAAGGAAGAGAAGCAGGGTAGTCACAGAGGAATCAGAGAATGATGGGCAAGAGTTAAGAGAGGGAGATCAGTTGGAAAAGAAGGCAAAGTTTGAACAGAGCAAGGTGGTGAGGGAAACCTTAAAGTGCCCTCACTGTGCCAATGATTGCTCTGGTGTGGAACTGTAGAGGTCTGGGTGGGCCCTCTACAGTTCCCCAGGTCAAGGAATCTTTAAAGCTCCACCACCCTGACATTATTTTTCTTGCAGAAGTTAAAAAATCTAAAAAATTTTCTATTTCAGTATGCCAGAAGCTGGGATATCAAGATAGGTTCCTACTGGTTGAACCCAACGGCACTAGTGGGGGTTTACTTTTGCTTTGGAATCAACATATGTATATCTTGAAGCTATATCAGACTGATTTCTATATTGTTGTACAGTATAAAGATAGTGTTACTCAGGAGGCTGCTTGGGCAATTTTTGTTCACCTGAGCACAAATAAATCAGAGAGGGAGTTGCAGTGGAGGAAAATGCTAAGGGATAAAACAGAGTGGGGGATGTGTGGATAATAGTTGGCGATTGGAATGACATATGCGGACTAGAGGACAAAAGAGGAGGGAGAATCAGACCAACCAAAAGCTACTGGAGGTTTAATAACTTCTTGGCCCAAATGGGAGTGCAGGAGATTAATCTACAAGGGGAGCAGTTTACATGGGATAATAACCGAGAGGAAGAGGGTTTTGTTGAAGAAGCTTTGGATAGAGTTTTTGCTCCTATAGATTGGTTGGCTAAATTTCCTCACACTAAAGTTACCAGTTACTACAAGAGTGCATCAGATCATTGCCAGCTGATCCTTGATACAACAGACAGAAAGATAAAACCAAAAAGGAGATTTGTGTTTGATAAAAGGTGGCTGCAAAAAGAAGGTGTGGAAGAGGTGGTAAGAGATGCTTGGAATCAGCCATGTGAAGGCACACCAATGTTTAGAGTTAAGGAGAGAGTCAAGAAAGCAAGGATAGCCTTATTGCAGTGGAGAAGGTGTTTCATTGCAGAGCACTTATCTAAGATTGCAGATTTTAGTATGAAGTTGGAAGACATGAGAAAAGAAGGAGGCAATAGGAATTGGGAAGCTTGGGATAAAATTCAAAGGGAACTGGATAGTGCCAATGTAGCTGAGGAAATATTCTGGAAACAAAAAGCCAGGGCATTGTGGTTTATAGAGGGGGACAAGAACACAAAATTCTTTCATGCATATGTGGCACAGAGGAGAAAGATAAATTCTATAGACCGGCTTTTGGTGGATGGATACAGATGGGTGGAAAAACATGAGGACATTGAAAATGTCATTACTGATTATTTTCACAACTTATACAAAACAGAGGGATCTACAAATGGCCATGTACTACTGCCTCTGCTGGAAAAGAAGGTCACTGATGATATGAACAACTTGGTCATTGGCCAAGTGGAAGAGGAGGAAATCAGGAAAGCATTGTTTAGCATTCACCCAAACAAGGCACCAGGGGAAGATGGCATGACTGGCCTTTTTTATCAGCATTTTTGGCCAATTCTGAAGAAGGATTTATGCTCAGCAGTCACCAGCTTCTTCGAATCAGGGCAAATGCTCAGGAGATTCCATGGAATAAGAATTTCTAAGGAAGGGCCAATGCTCACACACTTGATGTTTGCGGATGACACACTCTTGTTCTGTAAAGCAGATGTGAAGCAGATAGACAGAATTCTGGAGATTCTACAAGCATACAAGAATTTCACAGGGCAACAAGTGAATTTATCCAAGTCATCAGTTTTCTTTAGCAAAAGTGAATTTATCCAAGTCATCAGTTTTCTTTAGCAAAAACATAACTAGAGAGGCTCAAGAACAAATCTGTGCAAAGATGGCTGGCATACAAATTCACTCTTCGACCAGATATCTTGGATTACCTATGGGAATAGCTAGATCCAAGAAGGAGGCCTTTGACTACATTCTATTTGTTGTGAGGAGTAGAGTGGCAAACTGGAGGAATAAGTGCCTGTCCAAAGCAGGTAAAGAAATACTTATTAAGGCTGTTATACATGCTTTCCCTAACTATGCTATGTCATGCTTTGTATTGCCAGTTGGCTTGTGCAAAGAAATTTCCAAAATATGATGTCAGTTTTGGTGGAATGGTGGCAAAGAGGATCAGACATGCTTTCCGTGGATAGCTTGGAACACACTAACTTTTCCTAAAGAACAGGGAGGCCTAGGATTCAAGGATGTACAGCTCTTTAATCAAGCCCTCATAGAAAAACATTTGTGGAGACTTGTAACAGATCCTCAGTCTCTTGTAAGCAAAGTTTTGAAGAGAAAATACTATCCTAATTCTACCATCTTTGAAGCACAGAGGAAACCTAGTGCATCATGGCTATGGAATAGCTGGTGGACCGTGCTACAAGAATGTGGGAAATGGATGAAGGTGGAAATAAGGAAGGGCAAGAACACATTTGTGTGGGACCAACATTGGATACCTAACAGAGTTGGAAGGCCAGTACAGTTCTTTACAGTAGTGGATAGAGGGATTAGAAGAGTCTGTGATCTAATGACTGTTGATGGGCAGCAATGGGATGAATCTAAGGTGAGAAGACCATTTCCACAAGATATTTGTGATTTGATTCTCAACATTGATACTCTAAACCCCAGACAGTCAGACAGATGTGTAACACCCCGACTTACTACTATATCAGAGTACGCGATTTTCGCAATTTTTCTGAATAAAACGTTTATTTTGCGAAACTGATTCGGGATGCTACCGTGAAAACTTGACTTTTCTGAAACCGTTAAAAATTTTTAAACTGATAAATAAAAACAGTCATAATGTCTTATCCGACTAATGTCGGAGCAAAGTCTGATAAAAAGTACTGAAAGTTTTAGCGGAAACAAAGCGTGGCTAAACATAAATACAATAATCATAAATATCCTGAACAGCTCGCCCGCTCACTCCTCATCTCCGACCCTGCGCCCTGAAAAACATGAAAGGTGTGGGGCGTGAGCATTAAAACACTTGTGCTCCGCAGAAACTCATACTAATGTAAACATCGTAAATAATAACAATATCATGAACTAAGCATATACAACTGAACTGAAACTGTAACTGATATCTGATACCGGTCTGATCTCGCGACATAAGTCACGTAACTGATAACTGAAATCTGTCGGCAAAAACTAATACCGCAATCTTCCGGCACAAACTAATACCGGACCATGTGCACACTCTAGTGGGTAGATTAGGCCACTAGAACTCAGAATGGACCGGCGACCATTCCGAGTGGATACTGATTATACATACCTCGACCATGGTAGCGTAATTATAAACAATGTAGTACTTAGTCTGAGTCCCCACCTGAACTGCTGAAACTGAAACTGAATGGCAGTGCAGATGTCTGATCAAACTGAAAATAATATAAACAATTACTATTGACTATGCTCGGACTGATAATTTAACTGTTTAATTATGTTAAGATGCTTTATAGAATCTGACGTGACATTCGGACATATTCGGTAACTGAAACCGGCTAAGTACGAAACTGAGTTGCTATTAATTAACTGAACTGAACTTGACCCGGAATTTAACTGAAAATAACATTAAAAATGAAAACCGGGACTGAAACTGAAAATAACTGACTGAACCGGTCCAGCCGGTCTGGACCGGTCTGGACCGGACTGCCGGTCCGCTGAACTGGGCAGTCGGGCTGGCTCGGCCGGCGGCCTGCCAGGTGCTGCGCACGCG